AAAAATCGATAAAATCAATAAAAGTAATCGATAATTCTGAAAACTAATATTGTATTCGGAATCCCCATGCTCACTTCCCCCCCTGTGCCAACTCCTAGCCCTGTAGGTGAACTCTGCAAAAAAATCGATAAAAATCGGTAAAATCGACATCGATCGATAACGAAAAGTGGACTGTGACACCCGCCGGGGCCCGAAGTGTATGTGTGCCAAGTTTGGTCCGGATACGGCGGAGCCGGGTAAGCCAGCTAGTCTTATATATAAAGCTGAATGTCTGTTTGTCTGTCTGTCTGTCTGTCTGTCTGTCTGTCTGTAGTATGTATGTACTAGCTGGCTTACCCGGCTCCGCCGCATGTTCCAAATAGAAAATTCCATTTCTTAACCGATCCGGACCAAACTTGGCACACATACACTCGTCGGGTGTCACAGTCCACTTTTCGTTATCGATCGGTGTCGATTTTAGATTTTTTTCAAAATTTGAGCTAGGGGGCTGGAATTTGGCAGAGGGGTGTAATCGAGCATGCTGATCACCCCCACCCCCGTGGGAGTGATCAGCATGCTCGATTACACCCCTCTGCCAAATTCCAGCCCCCTAGCTCAAATTTTGCAAAAAATCGATAAAATCGATAAAAGTAATGCGCGGCTTCGGAAACTAATATCGTATTCGTAATCAGCATGCTCGATTACCCCTCTGTGCCAAATCCCGCCCCCTAGCTCAAATTTTGCAAGAAATAAAATCGACATTAGTCGATAACGAAAAGTGGACTGTGACACCCGCCGGGGCCCGATGTGTATGTGTGCCAAGTTTGGTTCGGATCGGTTAAGAAATGATTTTTTCTATTCGGAACATACGGCGGAGCCGGGTAAGCCAGCTAGTCATTCATAATCATTGTGAAAGGGGTATCAATTTATTCCGATAAATGGCAATGAATGGTGGAGGGTGATGAGTGTTCGCTGTTTTAGACCATTCAACAACAAAGGACAAATGACCCGATGTATTCAACACTACTGCACACCGAAAAGGCATTGTATGTGTGCAAGCCCTTACAATGACCTGCGAGTGCCTGCCGACCACCAAGTCAGTGCCTTCATCCTCCCAGACTACTCCAACACCAAATTATCATCTCCGGAGAGCAGAGAACTCAGACAATTGCATCGGAAAGTTCGCGGCTTTAAAGCGTGTTACATGGAGCGCCGCGGCCCCCGAAGTTTGGGCTCCGCACGCCGCGGCCCATGTATATTTTACCGGGAACGCCGCGGCCAAAGTTGAAACTGGGAAATAATTATCGGAAGGCTCGCGGCCCAACCACCTCATTCGGCGGGCCGCGGGCCTTATCAAAGGCCGCACTTCTTACACACTGTAGGATAAGGCGCAACCCGCGTGAGGTACGCCGCAGCGATGGGGCTACCCTAAGTGTTCATCAAGTTGGATATCAATGCTCGGATTTGGTCCTGTCTAAAAGGATCGAGTTCTCATGATCATGAAATAAACTCCAGCAGTCGGTTGAGTGTTGTCGACGACGCTAGATGATGTCGAGAGATGAGCTAATAAGTTGCTTAGTTTGCAGTCAAGTCCGTCATTGTGAAGGACAGACCAAATAGTTCTTCACCCCTCCTAGGTCCTACAAGCATGCTAATCGGGTCAACTATAGGCACCTAACGGGCTCTTACAGGATGCGCCGCGGTCAGTTATCGGGTCTAATATATGGGTTTACCGGGCAGCTCGCGGCATGGATGATTGGTGGTTGAACAAGCGCCCGCGAACTTCCCGATACAATTGTCTGAGAAGTTGGTTGGCCCAGGGTTGAGATCGAACCTGAGTCCGACCCGGTCGCAGCGGCCTCTCGTACATCACGAATAGTCCCCAGGTAGACCATTTATTAATTAACACTGTAGGTTCATCATGTTATAGTCAACACGGAGTACTCAGACAATTGTATCGGGAAGTTCGCGGGCGCTTGTTCGACCACCAATTGTTGTAGTCTTCTATCTTTCTGTGGAGTCGGGACACGAATAACAGCAGTGCTTTATCGGCGACTGGTACAATGACAGACCAGGAATGGAGAAATGGAAGAATGAAGAATGAAGAATGAATATTACCGCAAAAGGAAGCTCTTATATAGTCCTCTAAGGATTGTTGTAAACAACACAAGAGATATATACAACAGAGGTTCATTTACTACCAGCCTAATATCACTCTACAACACCAATCATCCATGCCGCGAGCTGCCCGGTAAACCCATATATTAGACCCGATAACTGACCGCGGCGCATCCTGTAAGAGCCCGTTAGGTGCCTATAGTTGACCCGATTAGCATGCTTGTAGGACCTAGGAGGGGTGAAGAACTATTTGGTCTGTCCTTCACAATGACGGACTTGACTGCAAACTAAGCAACTTATTAGCTCATCTCTCGACATCATCTAGCGTCGTCGACAACACTCAACCGACTGCTGGAGTTTATTTCATGATCATGAGAACTCGATCCTTTCAGACAGGACCAAATCCGAGCATTGATATCCAACTTGATGAACACTTAGGGTAGCCCCATCGCTGCGGCGTACCTCACGCGGGTTGCGCCTTATCCTACAGTGTGTAAGAAGTGCGGCCTTTGATAGGCCCGCGGCCCGCCGAATGAGGTGGTTGGGCCGCGAGCCTCCCGATAATTATTTCCCAGTTTCAACTTTGGCCGCGGCGTTCCCGGTAAAATATACATGGGCCGCGGCGTCTGGAGCTCAAACTTCGGGGGCCGCGGCGCTCCATGTAACACGCTTTAAAGCCGCGAACTTTCCGATGCAATTGTCTGAGTAGCCAGTCGTTGACGAACGCCACTGTTCATCGACCATCCAAGTTGTCAGGTCATCCATCCTGCACCATGCTCGACACTCCACCTGGCGCTACCCATTATGTAGGAAATCCCCGACTCCGTATGATGTTGTTGTCTGCCAGAAATGAGCCCTAGGCCATTCGTGCCCAAAACAATGGCATAAAAGAGTCTGATTACCCAGTTTAGTGTTGGTTTGTTCATTATTAACATCGTCAGCGGCTGTCCTATATTATTCAGTGTAGTGTCGACGGTCAGGGTCTGCCCTGTTACTATCCAAAAAACAACTGTACAACGTAGTGGTATCAGTTTGACTCATCAAAACTGATGACATGCACAAGATAAATAATGGGTCATAATCAGAATGATCCACCATTTACCTGGTGTTGAATATTGATTACGGATTTTGGGCTAGAATGTCTCATAACTTCTGGAAGCATTTTATTAGTGACGGCAGGAAGGCTTTGCATGAAAATAACAAATTCTATGGAAACGAAATCAAGATAAGTAGAGAGAAAACTCTTCCTATAACTGAACCCCAGGGGATCAGATGAAATAGTGATTATCTAATCTTGTATGGCAGTAACCTGGCATCCGTTATGCGCAGGTATCAGTGTATGAGAAACTTCATAAGCAACTTAGAGAAAGAAGAAGAAAGATATGTAGACTAGCGAGATATGACGCTTCCCCTCTCAGATCCCCTCCCCTCCCCGCGGGGATGTACGTGCATACGGGCCTTAGTAAAGATTTGAAGGGTCCAGATGCCACCCTTAAAAAAGGCTAATTGAAAATGGGCGACAAAGAGGTATTATCTAGAATTTTATCTATAATTGCTTACTTATCTACTATTGACATAATTAGATTAGTCGGTAAAACCCGCCATTGCGATTGTGTTGTTAAATTTGGATAACTGATCGGTATGGCCTTCCACCAGAATGTTTACTGAGTTAAAAAGAAAAAGTTTCGGTAGAGGTGAATAAACTTTTATATTGTGATTGTAATAAATTATATATAAGTAGTATGATAAATTTAGGATGGATCTATGAAAAGGGAGAGTTGGATCCCTCCTGATGGTGTACGGGATAAGTTATGTTGCAAGGGATGGGCTGTAAAAATTTTTTGGGTTGATGGGCACGGATTCGGCCGGCCTATCGATGTCTCTTTTCCCGCTCAAGTTTATATGAAAATTTCTCTGGTTCCTCACTAATCTGACTAAATAGTCAGGATTGTATGCACTGTTTGACTCTCTATACCTCGGCATAGTTCCAAATCTACTGCTGAGTACTGCTGAGTATACACAAGATCGTTTATTCAAATTACACAATTTACGGCTAACGTTTATCCTCTTCAGAGCCAATTAGGGCAATCCTTTTTAAAAACATATATATATCTATCATGACTTATAATAACGGGCTAAGGGTTGTTTACGTCTTTTTGTCTGTGTGTGTGTCTGTCCGTTACGAAATTCATAGAGCATGTTTCAGCCAATGTCCTGAGCCCAAATTTTGCACGGCGTATGCTACCAGCATGAAAGTCCACTATGCAAAAGCATGAGCGGATCCGTTGAATGGATCCCTTAAAAATTGCGTTTCAAACGGATCCGCTTAACTTCTGGCCAGCAAAACTGTGCATGTAGCAGCACTTTTTGCAAAGTCATGAGTACGTTTGACAAGCTAATGTGCAAATCATGGACCTTAGCCCAAAAAAAGTGAATAAAAGTTTATTACTTTACGAATGGGCGCCAAAAAGAATTGATTGCGTAAACTTTAATTTGCCAAGAGTTTACCTGATCTTTTGTGAAAATTTTTGCACAGAGATGTGGCCCACGGTGACCACTGTCCTCAAGGCGACTACCAAGCCATGAAAAGTCCAAAAACCGATTCAAATTTGCATTTGTTCTTCTGGGGAGAGTTTCATCCACGGGAAATTACCGATCTCAAATGAAAAAGTTTTAGAAATGAGTAGTTGTTTACGAATCATTCATGATAGTCTGCATAGCGCGGTGAGTTTCAATGTCATTATTGCGGGAATGAGCAAGGTATACAGATAGTGAGACCAGTGCGAGCCTCTGCGAAGCAGAGGTGGCGCACTGGTAAATATATAAAGTAGAAAGTCTATGTCTTTGTGCACGTTCCCTATAGTCATGAAGAGTGAGCGGTGAAGCTCATTTTGATCTGTGATTCAGACATAGTTAGGACGGTAGGAAGCGAATCCAAGACGAGTAGGAATCAAAAGAAGGATAAGTTTCACTGCATGAGAGGTCAGCCCGATGGACTGGCTCCACACCGGAGTGGAATCTGAGATGCCAACTCGTATACATATAAATCTAAAAGCTGCATACGCAATCTGCACGCATATTCAGTGAAGTTTGAAGAAAGTGAAGTCCTACTCTAGTCTTACACATCATTGGCTGCTACTATTTGGATTTCAGTGAACATCAATTTGTGGTAATTTGCAGCAAAAGTGAAGATTTTCTTTGAAATTTTTAGCTCAACTTTCGGCATTTCTCAGCTTTAGCTCAACCGCTCTGTCTCACCTTCATCAACATGAAGAAAACCTTTGTCGGTTGAGACTGAAGCCGTCATCGATGCCTTGAGCAATCAAGGCATCCCTTTTCAGTACATCAAGATAGTTCCTGAGCTTTATAACGATTTCACAACCAGCATCACACCAATCTACAAGGACACATCATTGAGGTGAAGTGAGGCGTGCGACAAGGCGATACTATATCGCCGAAACTATTCAGTGCCGCTCTGGAGAACATGCGTAGGTTGAAATGGGACAACAGGGGAGTGAAGGCCAACGGCCGGCAATAACACCACCACGTTCCTTCACTCCAATCACCTCTGCCCTCTTCCACCCCATCCGTCAAATCTCTGGGATGCTCAAACTGAACTTGTTTGCACACCATCGTGTCGAGGAAATCACGCCCTTTCGGATGAGCCTAAGTACAGCCTCGTAGATTGCCTGACGGCTGAGTTACAAAACTGCAAAGCGGTACAAGTCAGCGGTGAGGCGCGGGTAGGGTCATGTGCACAGATTGTCAGAAGTCATTTTCAGCCAAGAAGCTCACCGGCACACGTCCGATGCATGGAGGATGGTAAAGAGCATCTACTTTATCCGAACAGCTTTGTTAGGATGCCTTGAATAGGTTTCCATGTGAAGGAATTTGCTTTGAAGGAGAAAAATAGAAGTTAATTTTTTTTGAGCAAAACAAAATCCGAACTTGCGCTTTTTTGGAAGAAACCACTACCTGATTGTTGTCCTCGATGAGCTCTATGATATAGTATGTTACCTGTTCGGAAAACTTCTGTTTTGCTCTAAAAAAAAGACCTAAAAGATAATTTTAGCGTTCAAAGAATTATTGTCCGCGACATTGTGAAGCGGCCATTTTCGGACATTTTCTAAAGAATTTAAAATTTTAGAATACATGTAGCTCTTGAAGAGCTCTATCACCACATGCAATACAATCATTTTTTCATCCTGGTTTTTCATCCGAAAATAAACGCTCAAAAAAAGAAGGGCAACTTGTCCGCAACTTTTTGGCGGTCACTGTATATATTACCTCGAAACTCGAAAAGTTTCTTATTTGAACGCTCATAACTCCCAGATAGTTGCTTGGCAGATAACAAATATTTAGTATTTGAAATCGCGTTTTTTGGAATGGCTGGGTTAAGTTCTGTCCATTTCTTCGGTAGCTCTTTTGAAAAAGCCTGAGTTCGTGGTTGAATTTAGTCCTCCATCACTTTTTATGGTAACTCGCTACTGGCCTTTGAAAGAGTGGTTTATTAGAAAAAACGTAAAATTTCTACATAGTACAGAATGAAGAACGACAACGTTACAGACCAATTTCGTGCCACCGCATCTGAACAACTGAGTGGGGTTCAGGAACAGGAGGACTAGCGGCTCCGTTCCTGTGAGATCAAGCGCGTGGGAGATGCGGTAGTGAGAAAGGAGGCAACCGGACAAACGAACACACTTCAGTCATTGCAATAATTACAATCTAGTCGAATTGGGCGCAGAGCGATGCAAACAGAAATTAACATGAACTGGGAATGGAAGAGGAGTGCTGTACACAAATCACAACACGATTTGGATCATTTGGGAATACAAACGGGTTAATACGATATAAATCAGATACCATACAAATTAACAATATTTAGAAAAGAGCAGAGAAACCAGTGATGGGAAGTTGGACGCTAGAGGGAGTTGGGCGGGTCGATAGAACTCTGTGTGCAGTGAATTTGAGAAGCGCGGTAAGGGTGGTTCTTCAGAGTGGAGATTATACAATGAGACGACGACCAAGTCGGGACACGTATGACGTAATCGAAGGATTAGCTGACCTAGGTAAAATTGCTCTCGGTTATTACGCTCCACGGTTAAACTCTGTACGAGCGAGAGTTCGTGGTGGTCGACGTCGCCATCACGGCGTCGTCGTCCCACTCCAGACCGCCGCGCTGCGCGTCGAGGTGCGGAAGTACTTCGTGTTCGACGTCCTCGTCCGACAGCTCCTCCTCTTCTCGGTAGGACGCATCGCTGTAATACATGGAATCAATGGCTTTGATCCAGAAATGCTTAAAGGCAAGTCCATCCAAATCGAGGGTGATGAGATTGTGATGATTCGAAAGCGGAGCCCCTTACTATCTAATCACCCAAGTCCGGTTGCAAAAAATGAATTCTAAAACGATAAAATCGCTCTTGAAAGTAGACTCAGCGAAGGTAGCTCCGCCCCTCAATGTGGGTGGTCTGAAGATAGTGAGTTTGAAAGTGGGCATTAGAGCAGACAGAAATGTCAAAAATCTAATTGTGACAATGAATGGTGGATTTGTGACAACTCTAAGAACGTTGATCATCTTGGACTTTTTATCTGCAGACCACTCACGTTTATTGACGAAGTTACCGGACGCTCGTACCTTCTAGAGCAATTTTCTCTCTTCAGACCTTATCTTTTGCAGAGGGACTTGGGCGATTACTTAGTGAAAAGCCTCGCTATTACACAGCATCAAAAATTCTCCATCCTCAATTTTGGTAGACTGTGCAGTGCTTTTGAGCTTCTCAAGCGAAACAAGCCAACACGATTGGACTTCAACTTAATCAAATGGCAGCTAGATATGTATGTCAGTGCAAACTCTGAAGCATTTACAAGGCGTGAAACGAACGTCTCAACTATGCAGCTCCTCCGCTGCAAAAGCTGTTTTTATTTGACTTTTGCATGGATGCAAAACAGCAATTTATCTCTACTCCTACGTCATGGAGGTTTGAAAATAGTATCATGCTTTCTCTGCAAATTCACAGCCCTAATCCTTTTAGAATTTACACAAAAGCAATAAATCTAATTATCGTGCAAAGTGCACTCACCTTTCCTCTCCATCAGTGCTCTCCTCGTCTTCTGTAAACTCCTCTTCAGCAACATTCTTCTCCACATCGTCCAACGGATTAACAGTGATATTCATACCAGAATCATCCCAAGACATACCATCATCCTTTAAATGGGATCAGTGAGAAGCAGAGAGATTTAAACAGAAAAGAAGAAAAAACAAACTTGTCGCTTGTTCTTCCTTTTGCGAGGCAGTGGAGTGTCCCTCATTTTCAATACTCCGATGACAAGCAGAACGAGTAAGAAACCAACGCAAACAACAACCACGACAGCCACTGCGCCTCCTGCAAAAAATTGTTTGAAAATGCTTGTTGATGATTTACGCTTGCAAATAGTTGTTTCTGTAGATAACCCTGTATTTCACACAATATGTTGTCTGAAAACGGGCTGAGAATTTTCCCAGAACTGACCAAACTATTTTTAATGGAAATATATGACTGGGCTTTTCGTCTCTAACTAATTTAGTTGAAAGCAAATTTTGCGAGCAGCTGAATGAGGCTATTCATTGTTGAACATAAGATATTAGTCGAAACCAAGAGATCAATGAGGTACTGAAACGATGTTCCAATTGTAAAGGAAGTTGATGTCATTCCTAGTTAACATATGAAGAAGTTTAAAAATGAAGAATATTCACGTAAGTAGAAAAAGCTAACCTGCAATAGCTCCCTGTCCTACTTCGTAGCCGTGGTGTGACAGAAGTGCTTTGGGACGAGGAAGGTCCATCTCAAGAATATTCTGTAGTCGATTACTTCCCAGCTGGTCGAATGCGGGCTCGAAATGCCTTTCCAGCATGTCCAAGCTATCAAGATTTTCCGTAGATGTGACCGGTGGCACTGGTGCTTCCGAGCTTGATGGTTCGATGGACATCTGAAAGGGATGGAACGAGGTTGAAACAAAGAAAAGAATGAGTCTGAGCGAGAGTGAAGGGGAAAATGCGAAACAAGAAGAGGGACTCAAATCCTTGCATTTCAATATAATGCAAGGCATTCTTGTGCGACATAAGAAGCTATGATGCATTAGCTTTCAGCTCTCAATTATGCTTGGAACAAAATCCAGGGCCCATAAAAAGTAACATGAGATGGGTTTTCTTGAAGAGTGAATGTAATAGACAAGAAGTGTCGAGAAAAGTGAGAAAATGCATAAATTTGTGGAAAGATTTTCTGAGCAAGGGACAGCCGGCCACAACAAATGCCGCTCGATTGGCCTCATTAGCACGCAGATTCGGCGAGCCGGAGCACAACGAGTAAGGAAAATTTTCGATCAAATCGTCTTTTTCGCAAGCTGGAGAAGGCAGATATGATTCTGGCACGCCATCTAGGGTGAAAAAGGATAATAAATCCAGCGATAGCCGTTGAAAAAATGTCGTTTGCAGAAATTACTTTGCCAGAAAATAACCTTAGACTTGAAGTCGAGCAGAAGCACAACATATCTGCTTAGTCATTTGTTTCCTTGTTCGAAGCGTATCTAGGTTTGCGTTATTGTCCTCTTAGATTCTAATTACTACGCGCAATCCGTGAGAAACAAGGATAGGAAGGAAGCAATCAAGACTGTTTACATCCAAACCCTTGTGATTATTTTTTACTCTCATTCGGATGATGTCTGATATGCTCGTTCTAGAATTATTATAACTGCTTAATAATAAGTTCGCCAGAATAGAAGTTGTGCAATTTTGGAGGTTTGACAGGCGCAGCGATCAATTATTTATGACCTCAATCGCGCAATTGGAACACCGCACTCGTGTCCAAAAATCATGACCAAAAAGAGATTAAAATATGAAAGAAGCAAGAAGAATGAAAGGAAACGATGTTCGCCGCCTATAGCGGAGCTTCGCGGAATCGGTGAGGGGAAGAAAGTGCAAGAAGAAGAAGAAGCAATCATGGCGCGAGGGCCATTCAAATTCACACGAAAGAAATTGCTCGAGGGCTCGTTCGAGCCGATGAGTCGGTGGGAATCTGCTGTAGCGCCGACGCTATGCTTCTACAGCTTCGAATGCCAGCACTAATCATGTGCCCGAAGCACGAGACAAAAACGAGTATCCGGAGGCAAAAAAGCGTGGATGAAGCTGGCAAAAGCTGGCAAACATCGCGCCGAAGGCTTTACTAGTCCGTGTAGAGCAATATCTGCTCAAGTGTGGATTCGAGCCTGTCCCAAAGCGCTCGAGCTTTGGGACAGGCTCGAGCTCGTTGGGAGCGGAAACGGCAGCTCGTTAGCGGAAACGACTAGTGTTACTCATGATTTATTCGCTTTCGGGTGGTTGTTTCCTCTTGAGCGGATGTCCTTGCGTAGACTCCGATCCGGAAACACCGCAACGCCTGTCCCGGAGAAGTACTGTGGTGCATTTCCAGAACTTTCCATGCATGCGTGAGCGCCACTCAAAGAGGGGCAGAACAGTGAATGAAAGGGCGATAATTGCTCCCAAAATAAGTTCGCCATAAAACACGCATAACTTTAACTAAGCTGGAGCTAGATTTAGGATTGAGATTAGCTGTCTTTACTGACAAAATTTTCTTTCACAAAAATTTGGTCCGTGGATGTTGAAAGCTGGGAAAATTATCTATCATTCGAATTTCAATATAGCACAAAATAAAAATCTTTTGTTGTTCAGATTGTTTCAGGCTGACCTAGAAGAGGACCAAAGGCACATGCTACTCATCAGAAATGCAAAAGATTCCTTTCTTCCACAATTCTTACAACTTTTTGGTGCACAAAACATGAGTGCAGCGGAAGGAAAAAGGTTCGTAACTAGGTCTAAAATCTGAAGACTATTCAGAGAAACAGAATTTTCTTCACATCTGCATGATCGCTTCTTCCTCAGTTCGTATCTTATCTCAACAGGGTGGAGAGTGGAGCAGAGAAAGGACATGGAATAGATGTAACGCATCAAGAATCTTCTTGAGTGTGATTGTCCTTAGCAACCTGACCTCTCAAGTAATTCGTATCCCCCCCCCCCCCCAATAAAGCTAGGCATTACTAAGCAGCTACAGGGTGTCCCAAAAAATGTATCGAACGTTTGATCGTTAATATCTCTCTTCCCAAGAAGTCTTTTGCCTTGCTTCAAGTACCGTTTTGTAGAGCTGGCTTCAACTTAGATTTGCATTACAGAACGAAACACCTATCTCGCTTCATTACTGTAGGATTACGGTAGAAACTTGAAACATGTGGTGTCAATGTGGAAAAAGCTGCAGTTTCAAAATTTTACAAAAAAAAATGTGAAAACTTGTATAATAGGGTTTTTATGGACGCTAAGTTCAATACTTAACTATTCACAAGATTACGAAGCCATCTAAACGGTGTAACCGCACTTTTTAGGAACATTGAAAAAATGGCCGCTACCTCTTACCTGGCATAACTCTTCAATGAAGCATCATAATAACTCGGGAACTTTACAATTAGTATCAGCAGCTCTAGTTAGCCTAGTGTAAAAGTTTTGAGGCTGTTTTATTTCCTTTCTGAGGCAAAATATGGCCTTTCATTGCTTAAAACCCTCTTTGAAGTTTCTACCGTAATCCTACAGTAATGAAGAAAGATGAGTGATTCGTTCTATAATGCAAATCTAAGTTGAAGCCAGCTCTACAGAATGGTACCTGAAGCAAGAAAAAATACTTCTTCAGAAGAGAAATATCAACGATCAAACGTTCGATACATTTTTTTGGGACACCCTGTATATTAGGATTTCATTATGGAAAGTGCAAAATAGGAACAAGGGAGAGGGGGGGGGGGGGGGTAAAAGCGAAGCATAATTGATATCGAAGATGTGTCCCGCTGTCATTCCCGGACGTTTCGTCAGCTCAAAAGAGCGTGTGCACACTAAGGATGGTAATTTCGAGATAAGTGCTCGACTGCTTTTCAATTACGACGACGACACGTTAAACGACGCAAACAGCAATCGATTGTAATGGAGTCTCCTGGCAGGATGAGAGGAAGAGCATGGCTCGGATTGTTATGCAGCATCCGGGCAAGTTTTACAGGGGTTTCGAGTTGTAAACGAAAGGCCGGAGCTTTGCCGGATGTTTTACTCGGCAGTTTTGGGCTGCTCTCATCGGATGTCGGAGCGAGTGTAGGCATCATGAGATCTCATGGGATCATGGGACTACAACGCACTATTAGGGCCCATTCCATGGTAAACAAGCAGTGTCGAGTGGTTCGGGATGTGGCGAGTAAGAATGAGAAAACAGAGCGATTACTGAGTGCTGCTTGCTTGCGAAGAAGTGGGTATAATGGAGAGAGAAATGCTTCGAAGAGCAGGCCGCATAGCTAATCCCAACCTTATGGACGAGGTAAGACGGCCGAACAAGCGTTTTTTCTATGCCTGAATAACTCCAGCTTCATTTTTCACAAAGTGCAACACAGCCATGCATCCAAGGCGAACAGCAAATCCGCACGTAAGGTCGATCAATGCTGGCGCTGGGACCTTCCCGAAAAAAACCTTTCGCTTTAGCTCTAAAGTTCGAGTGCTAACCAGATTATGGTGGATACTACTCAAGAGAAACTTCCCTAAGCAAAACACTCGTCATCCTGATCGGGTCGAAAAAGGCGCAGGAAATGCGACAAACGGAAGCAAAACAAGCACTCCATATTGAGCCTAAGGCGTAGCTATGTCCAGGGTTCCCGCGTGCCGGAGCTGTGCCAACGCCGTGCCAGCACCGTGCTAGTGAGTACACGTGCCCCCGTATCGATCGACGTTCCGGCATGACGCTGGCATGGCTCTGGCACGGGCGACTACAAACGCAGTCTGAATGCGCTGTAAATGCTCAATTCCCTCTTTTCTTGTCACGTTAACAAAACAAGTAGGTTTTGCCCTACGTTACAACTTCGAATGGTTAGGCAGATTAAAGTGCAGAGGAAGAACTAGGATCACAGTTCGATCATAAAACAGAAACAGCAGATGTCGCAGCAATAAACGCAAATGAGACCTACCGTAATCACAAGTTCATTGCTGAGCACTCGTCCTTTCAGCATTGCACATTGAACAGTGTAGATACGCTTACTGTAGGTGTCAGGTCTCGTATTGAAGTAGTGAATCTTCGAAAGCACCTCGCGATAACCTTTGACGGTCTCCTCTCCTCGTAATAGAATTCCCTGAAATGAATAATGTTGAACATCCCTATATAGAGAAGAGAAAAACCACGAAAAAGCCAACACGTCTGCACTAAAACGGATTGAGCCCAGCCTTAATTTGCTTATGCACAGCTGCAATCAAGTTGTTCTATTGTGTCTTTGCTTGTTATCAAATAAGAGAGATACGTAACGATTTTTTTCTTGACATCTTGTTGGCAATCCTCGAAATGGCAGTTTCCACTTTTGGGAGTTATAAAGAAGTATATAATAAAGGCCATAGAACCATCTAATGAGCCTCGTCCATATGAGTAATCGAATTTGTAGCAACCTAATGAAAAAGGATAGAACCGAGATAAGCCTGCAAGTAAGACTTTGCTCTACTCTAAGAAATCCTGAGACTGGCCTCGTCATCTAGTCGCTGTGGACTTTCCCAGTTCAAGTCTAGAGACAAAAAGTTTTCTCAGCAACCTTCAGCCTCTTCGCTTCAATTTGTTTGCAAAGAGAATTACTTCAAAAGCTCTTTGCAAAGAGATTGACTCGATCAGCGTCTGGGCATATGGATTGAAACTTGAGTATCTATTCGAGAGAAAGTGAGAAAATGGATCGCTTCTAGGCTGAAATGAAGATTTAAATTCAGCTGCGTAAGATAGTTTCGGAAGCTCCTTAAGGAGACACGACTCATGGTCCCAACTATTTCCAAAAAGGAAATTGATTTCGACGTTTTTAGTCTTGTTCTATGGAAAAACAGTAGCTGGTAATTGGGGTAAGGACAACTGATCCCCAACCATACTGGTACATTAGCTTACACTTCCATATAAAATCCATCAGAAATTGTTTTCAAAGAAAAAAACCATTGAAGCTTTTTTCCCTACTTGTTGCCTATATCTTTTAGCCTTCACTACTTATTTGGACACCCCGCAGAGAATCACTTGAAGCGTTCTGTTCGAAGCTCACGTGATGTCGTGCCGTGTGTCAATCGCTCGTCGCCACTCGAGCCGTCAACAAACACATCGGAGCAACCTCCCTCGGGCTACGACGACGCTTCAGATGAACGACGCAGCTGCTTTGATATGCAGTGGCGCCGTGGAACTTCCGCTGGACATTTTCTCGACAACAAACACTTGAGCAAACAGATGACGACCACTATCGAAGGGGTGGCGAATATTCATGAGGTCAACTCATCACGAAGCCGTGGCAAAAATTTAGTCTAGAACGGGCGAAGGTAAAACGTCTAGGATTCAAATTCGGGATTTGGGAGAATTCTTATACAACTTTCTTGCATCAACTTTTGCTTTCTTGCATATAATGAGGGATTGCTTCACTTGGGAGGTGGCACACATGCAGATATGTTCCCCTCTCGTATCAAAAAATTATATGATTAGCAAAATTTTGAAAGTGGTGCATTTACACGAAATGTCTTTGCGAGGAAAGGACCTGCATGATCTTCTGATCTGCTGTTGTTGACGTAAAGCACTATAGCTAAGGTGAGAATTAGTCAATATGCGCTTCTAACGAAATTCAAGTATGTGCTGCAGCAGGTGAATCACTTACAAGTACTCGAGTTGCAAACACTTCCACCAGAGATTACAGAATAAAGCAATCCAGAGTGATTTGCTCCTTTTGATAAACTTGAATACGAAATTTTTACAATTTAGATATTATACAAATTAGCGACAATCTTTCGGTCTCCAACATAGATAACGCTTCGCATTGCTGTTCTGGTTGCACTTTGAGTTTTGGGCTCCAGTCTATCATATGCACTAAAAGTTCAGCATTGAATTAGTTGGTATTATATGAGGTCATCAGGCCAACGCTTCCATATCAAATTCCCCATGGGGCATAAATGTGCCGTATCTTCGAAAACGACCATCTGTTCAGCTATTGGGAATTCTCACATCAAGATATGCGTCTATGAGTCAATTTGGTGTTCAAAAACTGTGTTCGGACTTGCGGGGAAAATATTGGGTTGAGAGAAAAAGATCGCATTTTTGGGTTTTCTCTGCTAAAATTGGTATTTCAGAGGAAAACTAAAGCAAAAAACTAAAGCATATCGCCCAAATTTTACGAGTGAAGTTTCGAAAGTTTATAGTACACAATTGCATATATGGACGAAGCCCAAGACTACAAGGGGTGGAGTTTGCCATTTCTTGTTTTTTCAACTTTTTCCTTATTTTTAATCCCGAAAAAAATATGGCAAGTGCACAAATGGATAGTGCATGTCTCTGCTACATGCTGGAGCAAATGAGGGTTTATAGAGTTGTCGGTTTTTCGGTTTCTGTCAACTTGTAGAGCTTGCTTTGCTCTATCAAATGATACCCTTCACACATTTTTTCCCATTCGTCCCGTTGCTCTGCTGTAAAAAACCACATTCTTTCTTTTCTTTCCAACCTAATATTTGGCTACACCTGCTTTACTGCCCTTTGCAGTCCCTATGCAGTTTGCTGTGCTAAATGATGGTCCTTGATTTTTTGCAACTACTTTTTTCTTCTAAAGCGTGTTCTGTAGCTACAACGACTACAATATGTAACAGCTTTTTGTGCCTGCACACACACTTGCTTACTCAGCAGCAAAGCATAATGAACTGGTTTTTTGTGCAAATGCACACTTAGTGACGACAATCGTCCATGCATGTTTTAATACAGCCTGTTGTTCCCCATGAAGCCCATCTACCTTACTAAAGGCCACACTCAGACTGGAGCTCGTAGCTGGCCAGATTTGATCAGTGTTCCAGACTACTCAAGACGGCCACTCACCTCCTTGTCGTGCTCGAAATCAATCTGGAGTGCGGCAATCAGCGATGCCGGTGAGGAGAAATACTCCAAGTCCATGTCTCTCGACGGCTTCAGATGCACTTTGCAGTAGTCGAGCATGTGTGACGAGGTCACATCCTTCATTTTACCATCTGAAAATCAGATTTACACCTGCAGCCATGGAGGCGGAGAATTGCATTGCTTACCGCTTTCCGGTTGGCTAACGGTGATTTGAATGTCGGAAATCATTGGGGTTCCAACTTTGACGGAATGTTGGTCGATATTCAGAGTTGTAGATCCCGACAGGGATAGCACAGGGTCTGCTTCTTGTTCAACAAAGACGTAACCTTTTGCGGATGGTAGAGTGAGCTGAAAAATTCTTTTTGTTGGTTACACATTGAGGGCAATCGCAAAATGAGTGTTGATGCTTTTCTTCTAACTCATTATCTCATCATATGACAAGTAAACCTAGGACCTAAACTGCTACTGATTGAGTTGATTGATTTGGATCATTCAAAATTGTCGAAAGCCCAAAAGATGGCTCTCTAGTGGGAAAGAAATTAAGGAATAAATATAGTGTCGTCATACCAAGAAAAGCGAAACTAACTTACGTACAGTTTTTTGTGTGTATAATCTTTTTTGTCAACAAAACAATCACACTGAGCTAGTTTTCTGCGAAATTCAACGAAAGAAAAAACATTTTGATTTCAACCTTCATTCCCTAAGTTTAGCATATTAAGCACATTACGGCCATATTCTGGTTTACATAAAGCATTGAAACTTTTGCACAATTCACGTTGATTTTAGACTTTTGCTACCTAAATACTCAAAAATGCATTATTCTCAAGAAAGTCTTAGACTCGGTTACCTGCTTGCCTCCCTTGCATGCGACCGTAGTGTCCAGGGTCCAGGATCGATGTCCGGGAATTGGAGTTTCTTGCGTGTTTACGTATGAAATCTGAAGAAATGGACTTAACTAGCGACTTTATTAACTTCCACAGTCTCAGAAACTCACCCTTCGGAGCATTTTATCAACTTCTGGGACCGTGGTCGCTTTGACGGTAATCGCAGACTGATCTGCATTGAATGTCACACTTTGTCCTTCTGTTATTTCATCCATGCCAGTAAACTGCAGTTGTTCCGGGCAGCGATGGGCACATTCGATGGCACTTTGGTTCTCTACTTCTCCGCTGAGTAAATACACACTGGACAGCGATCCTAAAAAGTCGAAAATTCAAAAAAAAAATCGTCATCTTCTCTCATCTGACGCACCTTTGAAGAACTGAACCATTGCTTGTTGTCTGCCATGCCAGCATGCTCCAACCACAAGTCTCGTTTTCTAAACAATTTCTATCTCAATTTCTTTTCTCATTATTTATAGGCATAGGCTCTCGTACCACAGCTTTAGTCTGATGCAGCGGCCAGTCATCAAGAATCTCCGGATTCCTTTCATCGGCTTTGAATGCGACGCCATCGATCATCAGGTTGACATCATCGACTCCGTTGAAAAGCAACGAATAGGAATGCCATTCGTCATCGCAAACCTGCAGCATAGATATGGTCCATTAGCTGAGGAAAGATTGAGTGGGGGAGGGTGTGAAGGAGAAAAAAGGACGAAAGGAGAATGAAGGAAAAATGTGGTGCGGGATCCTACGGGTTCATATGAAACATAAGGCAACGTCTCAAGTTGACCGAATTCTTGCTGTGTCTAGCACCGTGCCAGCGCCATGTCGAATTGCGAATTTCCGTTATTGATCCATCGATTTTTCGGCAAGGCACCAGCACGGCGCTGGAACGGTGCTGACACAGCGCTGGCATGAGCAACTCTGGACGCTCCCTAGCCTTCTGATTGCTATACTTGTCGAGATATTAAGAATCATCACACCCATTACGAAATCTGCAGCAAAGGAACTCGCTAATAAACGAAAATTCAACAAATAATTATCGATCTCAGGATTTAGATACGACCAACTCATAAGTGTTCAGAAAACTAGCGTTAAAAATCCTGCCGCCCCCCCCCCCACTTCTTTTTGAAAAAAATTGTGAGACTGCTTGTCTCAGCGAAAACAGTGCAATATAAAAAGAAGTGTTTTTATGCTTCAGCAGGTCAAGTAGAAACAAATGCAATAAGGTAACTGCGCATATAATGCGACTCTTTCATTTTATCTTGAATGTTTTTATCTGTAAGAAGTAGTTGGCTAAGTCACCTGCGATCATTAGGTGGCGAAGGGAATGGTAAATTACTTCACTAGGTTTTTTCAGGCACATTTGTAATGAAACAGAGACATGTTTGTATTCCGAATAAAACTGAATTCACCTGCGGTGTAGCCCATCTCCATTCAGCTGCACGGAACTCGGCTTTGCTACCAGCTTCTCTTCTCAGAACAACTTCAAGTTTACAATGGCGCACATAAACAGCGAAATGATGGCGGTTCATACCTAAAAAATTTTTGCTTCGTTCGAAGGAGCTCTTTCTGTTTGCTTCTGTCTGCTGGTTTCAGTGTGCTTGCATTTTTTCAGTTGTTTGTTGATGGAGGAGTTGTTTAAAGTAAGGAAAAGGGATTGTGGCTGTGCGTGGGCTACTGCTGTCAATCAAACAATTGCTTTGTGAATGTCTCCTGGTAGTTATTCCCCTAGAAGAGTTATTTCATCTTTAATCATTGCTGCTGCCATGTTTTCGTCTTGCGAGTGGAGTGAAGACAATGTTCAGCCTAGACGGCTGAGTTAAAAACCTTGTTTTGAGGAGACAGCGAGCGCTCATAAAGACTCAGTAGTGCATTTTCGCCATCTCAGCCGCTGAAAACCGTCAAGCATCCAAGTAGATGAAAAATTAATACGTAGCAAGGAAAAGATACTTGGTCGAAGTGCAGTTTCTATAGGAGACGTATAGTGTCTTATAGAGCATGGAAAGCTGAATCTAAGTCTGCTTTCATTATCTGCAAAGCGCTTTTAGGATGGGAGTTATGAGAGCTTTTCGAGGCAAAAACTCAAGGTCTTGGTTAAGGTAAAAAGGAGTGTTGAGATCTTTCCGGCGCTTGAATGGACTAACGACTAGCTCAAATTTATTGGAGCTTAGGTATTAACTGCACAAAGCGCTCTGGCAGTAATCATGGTCTCCTCAAGCTCACAGACTACAGTAGTGAATGATTTTTTTGTATGGTGCGTCTCGAAATTTTTGCCTCAAAAAATCTCTATAACTCTTCTCTCAGAAGCGCTTTGCAGGTAGCGAAAGCAGATTCGAAATCAGCGTTCCATGCTCTATATGATAGTACACATTTCCTATGGAAACGCCACTTCGACCAGGTATCCTTCCCTTAATTTGTGCTGAGATATAAATTTTTGGTAAGAAATTTACATACCATCTTCGTCCGATTCACAAAGAATGTTCTTCTTATTCTTCTGATCGTCTTTTGTTCCAGCGGCATGTTTCATCGAAAATGACAGAGAGAACTTGTCCGGAATAACTTCTGAAAGTAGATTTTTCAGATTTTATCAACAAGGATTAAGATCATCTACGAATAGTTGTGGTAAAGACACTCTTAGTACAAAACATTTCGATAGTTTAGCACTCAGTTTACCTGGAACTGTGCGCGATGGCACGATTACAGCGTTGGTGACTCCATCGAAGACTACATCAGCTTCGGCTTCGTCCGTGAAGACGGATTTCGATGGAAGAAGTGGCACCGTCGCAGAAGATAAGCCACAGCTGAATTGAAAATACTTTTGGCTAGAACATTTCCAAAGAGATATCTCAAAATATCTCGAAACATTATAGAAACAGCCTACAACTATGATAAAAAGCGAAGTCAAAAACGGTGGTCTACTTGATCGACAAAAATCAAAATTTTTCCTCTAAAAATTAGTTCCTATGTATCCTTTGTTGAAAAACTGTTCCTTTCAATTCGCTAGTTCTAAATAAGCGATTCAAATGCTCGAGCTCGACCAAACGATCAAGCAGGAATTGCGATTGACTCCAAACCATCATTCAAAAATCAAAATGATCTAGTATAGGCTTAGCTTTACTTGTGCTATTTTTGCAGTTCTGCGAAACTCAGATGTTCATGATGACAATACTAATCTGATTAGTTCATTTTTTCCCATAATAAGTGAGTATCAACTTTGATGACTATAGATCTCGCTTTAATGAGCTTTACGAAGCCTCTCATGGGAAAAGGAAAAACTTGGGCATGTGATGCAGTTAATACATAGGTGTTTCAAAAAAGAGACGAAGAAAGTAGAGATATAAAACTGTGATTACGGTAGATGATTCAGGATGGTTATCTCAGGTCTCAAAATGTGACATTTCAAAAAAATTGAAGACGTCGAAACTCGAATTGTGCTGTTTTCTGGTATGGTGGTCAAACTCATTTTTTTCAAGATTGGGAGCAAAAGATTATTGCAAATGAGTTAGGATATTGCTAGATTTTTAAACAAGCTTATAACCTGAAGAAATGGTAAGGGTTTCACAGGTTTTGTAAAAAAAATTACAGATAAGCAAACCATTGACATAATTCCAGAACTCAAGCTCATCTTTTTCCCTGAAAAGCACTCCCCGCACTAACCTCTGGAACGTCTCGTTCGAGAAAATTGTGTCCCTCGAGCATCCGTTTGTCACATGTCCAGCCTTCAGTTTCACAGTGCTGTGTACATTCTCTATTTCGCAAGCCGATTCCTGAACGAATAAGCCTGATTTGCTGGGATAAACGGCTAAGTGGCCGCTTTAGTCTTGCTTAGCAGATCTTAGCTGAGCCTCAACTTCATTGGCTCACGGAAGACGTCGACAGAAGAACGTTACCTGTTCACAGACATGGCTCTGTACATCCGGCAGAAGCAGTTTCGGTCCGCTTGCAGCCACGTAGCTGAGTCTAAAATTGGACAAGGAAGTGATTTTAGTGGCTAGATGACGTTGCTACGAAAGAAAAAGAGAAGGGGTGGAATAAAAACATACCTGTCGTTGAGCCCGGTATGTCCTTGGACACAGGTCTCCTTCACATTCACCGTGACCAACGCACTCTTGCTTCTTCTCATTCCACAGTCGATGGCGACAACGGTGAGGATGTAAGACTTTGCAGTCGAGTAATTAAGGGGTTTTGTGTTCCGAAGCACTCCCTAAAACAGGAGATTCATCTTCTGGAGAGTAGAATATCCCTAGAGCAATTTTTCCATACCTGATTATTAATCGCAAACGGGAAGTCGTTCAAACCGTTGGCAATTTCGAAATCGCAAATTTGTCCATATGGATTGCCACAATCAGCATCGGTCGCTTTTAGCGTAGCGATTTCATTGTGAATTTTGCCTAAAACCAGGTTGGCATTAATTTCTAGCTTTTCTTGAGAAATACGATAGCCCTTACCTTCTTCAACAGTGAAGGTATACCATGGACTATCAAACTCGGGTGAGTGATTATTCGTGTCCTTTACGGAGACTTTCAGAGCGACTCTAAAATTAAAAGAAATTGCCGTCTCTGCAGATCAAAAAAAATTAGCGATCCTAAAAAATTGAAAATTACATCTCCATTTACACGGAATTTTGGAGAGACTACCAAAAACGAGAGTTTCAACTATAGAGTCTTTACAATGTGGCTCCATCAAAAGTTTCAAGTCCCAACTGCCAGTTAATAGTATTTGCTTCTAATATCCTCATTTCCTCGTAGAAACAAAATATTGTGACGATATGACCCGAATCGTAATATGAATCACATGGACGTCATGCACTATGATACCCCGTCATTAGTGGATTTGTTTATAGCGTCAAACGGATATAATTAATGCGTCACGGAATTAGGTTCACTGCCATTATATCCTCATCCGAATCCAGGATACGGATTACAATGCCCCCATCCTCACGCTCGTTTCTCCATTCCTGAATTTTTGGTTTTCCCAAAAGAGGGCATGTTTACAGCATATGTTTTACTGGAGTCCCTTTATGTTGGTGGTCGAAGTGCAATGCATTCGTTTCTAAAGTGCTTTCCCCTCTTAGTTCCAGCCTTGAGCATTCAGGCGTGTCCCCAGATCCATTCAGGCGCTTCCAGCAACGCTCAACTCTCGCTCTTAATTGAACTTTTAGCACGCTGTGGCCAGAAAAACACTCGATAGCGCAACACCCCGAAGAGCGTAGCCCCTTCACTCGATGAGCGGAGTACGGGCTAGGCGGGGCCCCGTGTTTTGCGCCGCCCTGGCGCTTGCAACATGACGACGGCACCGAGTTACCGTAATCGAATAGACGCGTAATCATGTGCGGCGGCGAAGATTTGCGCGCTCATTTGAATTGCAATAAACAGATTAATTGCGCTTTCACATGAGTGTCGGGATAGACAAGGATTACTCGCATGTTGCGAACAACGAAGAAGTCGATGAGCTTCTTCCCATGAATACGGGTACTTTCAGAATAAGGAAGTAAATTGCCATGCACATAAAACTTATTGACAACTTCTTGCGCTCTTTTTTCAGGCCAATATCCATAATGCGGAAGATAGCCGTTAATGCAGGGATCATTAACTTTCCCCATGAAGTTACATTTTCTTCAGATTACAAAGGAGTGAACGACGTTGTAAAAGGACAAGTGGTAGTTGGGAAAGGACGACTGTCCCCAAGTTGTGGAAGATACCTTTTTGAGTAGCAAAAAGAGATCTCACAACGCACCAAAAGCGATGCACCTTTCAATCGAAGTTTAAGAGAAAATTAGATTTCGGTAAAAAAACTTTTTTTGCTTGATTTCTTTTGTCATGAAACTTGAATAGAAAATTTTTGTTGAATAGAAAATGTTCTTTTGGGAACGAGAGTGGGCTTAAGTAAAGCCTACGTAAAGATTAAACGTCAACGCATAAAAAATCACAGTGACAGCCGTTGATATGCAAAGTGATCACATACCATGAGTTTTATCAATTTCCAAAGCTTCTCTACTAAGCAAAGTATGGGAAGGGCACTTGTGAGCCTCACAGTGAACAAAAATATAAGTATCTTCTGCAGTATCACTGATAATTTAGCATGAAGGGCCAAATTTTTTACCATCATAATCAGTTCTACTCACGAAAATCATTCCCTTGTATCGTATTTCTTGATTTGTACCCAATTTCGAGCAGGGTACTTTTCCCATTTTTGTTAAGAATATTGCCTTTTCTACTCAAAAAGGTCAGCTTATAACGTACGGTTCGCTGCGGGTAGCGTCGTCCTCACATCGAACGGCCACCACCTGCAAGTCGTATTCACTCTTCCGACAGTCAAGAGTGGCTGCATCCTGCAAAAAGCTTCTTTACAACGGTGTTTCGAAAGATCCATTAGGCTTCTTGATGGTCAGTGAAACCGCACAAAAAAGCTAATGAGTTTCGTCCCGAAGGCATTCTCACTCTTTCGTAAGTCTGCCAGCTGACTCACATCCGAAGAAGGAAAAAGCGCTAGCGGTGTAAGATGGTATGGATGACTCAGCTCGATAGTATTCGTATCGTAAAGTTAACAAACCTTGACTCTGATGACAGCAGCGCCAGTGTACTGATCGATCACCTGAACATCGAATGGGATGTCCTTATCGGAAGACGTCAGCAGGTACTTGCAGACTGGGCCTAAAATGAGCAGCATAGCTCTTCCACTCCTTCTTTCTGATTTCGAAAAATATTAGGTTGACTAAAGCTGATTTCGGTTTCTTAAAAATGCTGCAGACAAATTCTTGTCCAGTGTTTGGATCTTTGGAAAGAGCACCTCAGTGACTGGGATGTAAATTCTGTTTGAGTAAAACTTATCTATCCCTATGAATAAAAGGCCCAAACAAGTGAGATACCCCCATTTTCTCATGGCGCACAAATGTGATAAATTTGTTTCTGTTTTTTTTTTGAATCAAAGTTTCAAAATGACAGATCACAGTCTCTACTATTATTATTCGTGATGGAAAAAACCTGTGCGTATCCAAATACCAAATTACTTATCTCTACATCCACCACAGCAGGAAAACAAAGTTTATAAAGTCAAAGAACTGAAATTATGCAAATTTAGCTATACTGAGGCATGATTGTTTTTTGCTGTGAAAAATTTTGAATGGTTGACATATGATAGGAGAAGATTTGAATTACTTATCGTTAAAAAATCATGAATAAAAACAAAGGAGAGGTTTATAGAAATTTGAATACCAAAAAAATTTTTTTCTTCAGCCAACTCAATATATTTTGCTTTCGTCCTACACTTATACATGGTGTATTACGTGGTAAAATAATTAACATATGATTCCATCATACAAACCCTTGAATTTTTTTTCGAAAGAAGGGTATGTCTGTGTTTCTTATGTTAGACAGGACGCACTAATCGCATTTGAAGTGCTTAGAGTTCAAACTTTCAAGTAAATATGCTGATAAATTGTCACTGATAACACTAATTTTTCAGTCAAATGCTCTATGTGCGATACAAAGCTGATCAATGATGATAATATTCTTTCACTCTTTGCGTAAATTTCGCAACCCTCATCATTGCTTCCGGCACTAGAATCTACTGGGAATCCGTCAAAGCAGATATTAGCAGCGATAAAGCACATACTTGACGCTCGTGATAAATCGCATTCTATCAGATTAGCCTCATCTAGTGCTGAAGAAAATCTACTTTACGCTTTGAAGCCACTGTCATTACCTTATCCCTGGTTACCTCGAGCTCTACCGTCGATTTCCTGTCCTCGACGCGGGATTTCGCGCATGAGCGGGTCTGTTTATGGCGAAGACTTGAGGTCTGTGGAAACCTCACTTGATTAGAACGAAGTCGCGGCAAACAGCATATAGCAGAGATCCCATGGCGGCACCTAATACGGTAACGGGGGGGGGTCTAACTCGCTGTCTCCAGCAGCAGTAGTCCGGCTCGAAGCCACGAACGACACTTGTTCTACGGAATTATTCATGGGTGTTTTCGCTTGAGCGAGCGCCATCGCCGACGGCTACATGCCAACGCCAGGGGGTCAACATCGATTCGACGTACTGCAGTCGTTACTAGGGGGTGAATCCCCGGCCTCCCCCCCCCCCCCCTTCTCCCCCCAGGCCTCTCAAGGAAGACAAATGAGAAACGCCTTATGACTCAAAGCGCGTCAGCTGTATGGTCTTTTGAAGTGGATCGCTTCACGCATGAATGCACTCGATTGGATTCTCATGCACATAAGCATCATTACAAAATTGGTAGCAAAAGAGAGTGAGTGGAACTGTACTTTTTTGCAGCTACAGTCATTTTTCTGGCGTAAAAAATTAATGCGAAAAAGATTGGAGCGGAACACCTCATTAATCTATTATCTAGACAGTAAAACAGTAGCATCTCTTATCAAACGAGTTACGTTTTTTCATTGGCAAAAAAAGGAAAATCATCTGAGATTAATTAATCAATGTTTTAGGCATGGTTTCAAACAACTAAAAGTGAAAGTTTGCTTTCTGGATAAAGAGTACGGATTACTATTAGTGTTTCCTTTGATTCCTGCATACCTGCGATTCTCGTTGTCCGTAGAGCGCGGGGACTTCTACGATTACAGTGTAAGACTCCATTACTATGTAAATGCCCATCAATATTTTTACTATATTCTGGTCTTGTCTAGGTCAATGCTATTGAATGTAATGGGAAAGAGAATGGGACATGCATAAAAAGGTGACTCCGACGAGCGTAGCGTAATTATTGTAAAAATGGAAGTTTACGCGCTCTGGTAACAGTCACTGGAGTTCCAGGAACAATAGGAATAGGAGAATAGTATGGCCGAACCCCAACATACAATTCTTAAAGTACCATTGCTTCTCATGCCTCTCGCGCTTTGCGCTGCCTTCAAATCTGTCTTGAAGCATCTAGACGTTTGTTTTCTGTAACAACGCCTCAAAGGCAACAAAATGGCTGCGTTGCGTTGGCAGCTATAAGCACCTTCGGGAGACGTGAAATGATTCGATTTAAGGGGCAGATTCCAAATATTCGAAAATGAAGACGTCATGAATGAGTAAGCGCAATGCGCAACATTTTCATTTTTTGAATCTATTATTTGGTTGTGGGAATATCTTTCACGCTCGTCTAATAATTCTAGATACGCAGCATTAGCTAGTCCCTTACAGTAAAAGCGAGATGTTCCTTCAAACTCCTCCCCCTTCCAAAAAAAGCTCGAGCTTTGATGCTTGTAAAACTCTCGAAGAACGACACTTTAGAATGAAGGAAGTAAGAGCTAGAACAAACCTGTTTCTGCGACAATTGAGAGATCAGGTACAGTGTTGAGGACATTCTCGTCCTCACGAATGTTCGCTACCAGTTGATCAGCACCACGAAGGTCGATGATAGGAACTAAAAATAGAAAAAATTTTCTCTTGAAAAAAAATTTTTTTACGATATTCTCTTCACCATAAAGTTGGGCTGATTATGAGAGTCTGATCAGTGAAGTCTTTTTAGAAAACTCTATCTTTGAAAAGTCGGTATGTTCATAAAGGTTCCAACTAATAATTCTTTATTGAACTTACGTCATTTTAAATCGAATCAATTAGGTAACCTAATAGCCTGTGCTTAATTTACTCATTACCCCACGAAACCCTTCCTGAACACTCGAACTTGTTTACCCTTCCATGCCTGCTTGTCTGTGCTCCCATTTGGTATTCATGTAAATATTGGAAAAGAAGAGAGCAAAGCGAAAATACGCATAAAAGATGTTACTCGTTGATGAAAGCACCCCTTTTTCTTTTCCGAGGACAAAACATGTTTGCTTGACTGTCATGCCTTATGCAAATGACAATGAGAATGGCGAGTTCTTTGAGCTCATTATGAAAATGGAAAAGGGGTTTAGGATTAACTTTTTACTAACGTTTTTTTGATGAGGTATCAGATTAAAGGGTAGAGAGGACTTTGATATTATTATTTAATTGCTGGCTAGCTTTTATCGAAAAGCATATTCGAGTTGGAAAATTCAGCTCCAAAGAGATGTTCCGCAAGATGTCGGTCCGGTTTCTTGGAAAATGAAAATAAGCGAAAAATTTATGGACGCTGAACTAGCTGGACAGAATCAAGTAAGAGTACGTTCATCGACGAGCATATCACCAGCATTCACATTTCATGAAAGCAGAGAATCAAGCTACGAATTTTTTTATCAGCGGGCAAACAAAATATATGCCAAGATTTGATCGAAACGACTGACAAACTACAAAGACATACATTTTCGGAAATCTGAAAGAGAAAAATCAGTTGAGGTGGGATAAGACCTTTGAACTTCAGCTGCCACCTTGTCAATTCACTTAGCCTAGCAAATGTAGTTGGCAAATGACAACTTCAAATATAAACCATTCATTCCACTTGACATTGTCGCCTATGTTGTTTTTGACTGAAGTTTTTCTGTGCACCTCTTGACGGCGAACGGAGAGCACACGCTTTCGATAGTTCTCTCAAAGTTATGGTTTATCTACAGTAGAGTCACTTGTAACTTGGTGTGCACATCTTGCGCGGTATCTCGCGGCTTGCATACTTGCAATTGCCGGTTTGCAAAATTTTTCTTATTTTTCTCCTTGAGCGTAAACAGGTACAAACAGGTATGAAAAAATTTTTTTCCGACTTCCTTCTGTTGAGCGGGTTTGTCATGGCTAGCTACCAATAACTAGTTAGAAATGCGTGCGCAGTCTGTAGTCTCACAAAGTTACTTATGGCTAACACGCCTTTGACACTTCCCATGGGCTCGGCACCAAAGATGATGAGTCTGTTTCAGAACTTTTGTTATTCGTGAATTTGCGAATGACGAGAACGTGTCATAAAAGCCACTGCCTATTCTACCTATATTCTTATTGCGACAAAAGGAAATTGCGGTGCCTACGCAGTGGCGGTGCGGTCAATGGTGTCAGAATGAAAATCAGAACGCGGCTGCTTATCGTTCTCATTCCGGGCTCTTAACTTTGCCGTAAACGTCATTTTGACATACACTTGCTGTTTTTCTCCTCCAAAATAAGATGTCATTGTAAATTACAGTATTACTGGTAATTTTAGCGTTCTTCAAAATAAAGTAGGGTGATGCAACATTGTAAATCACAAAGGCACAAGAACATTCACTTGATTGTACAAATATGGTACCCGATTATAGACATTAAGCCGATCTCAATTACACGCTAAGAAATCATATTTAATAGTCTAAATTTTAGCCTATCATGTGTAAATGCGTACATGCCATGCTGGACTCCAGCAACATAAGGACTCATTTCTTTCAAATAAATGGTTTTGACATACTTCGGTTATTCACCTTCTCTCTCAGATACTCAGCAAAGATTTTCCAAATTGTGCGTACAAAATGAGCAACAAATCACATATTTATCTATCTAATCTACCCAATATATAAAAAATCGTAAGGTGCATTCAAAAATCATCAGAAAGCGGGAAACCGAGCGGGTCCCGAAGCGAGCGCGCTTGCTACTAGGACCTTTGAAATTTATGCTTCACTAGTCAAAATAAGAAATGACTAAGCTGTACGTGCACTATATGTAAGTTCCAAATTGGCGTCACGTGATACACAGAATAAGTGCGTCGTACAAATGGTGTGCGTTGTTCAACTGCATCTTCCATGGGTACACTACATTTTCTTAGTACAAAAGTTGCATTGCTTACTCTTTTCCCCAAGCAACAGACTACGTAGTCTGTGAGGGCATAAAAACCCGGGAAGCGGGAGCCCAGTCGGAAATGAAAAGTTACCTCGTCGCTTGTGGTGTTTCGCCAGCACGGCGACACTGCAGAACGCGAATAGAAGCGCAACACGCATCTTCGTCGTGTTAGCGCTCAAAGAGGAAAACCTAAAAATGCATAGATTAGGGAGAAATAGCCCCTAAAGTCGAACGATGCACAAAGACACAAAGAAACGGCAAATGTCCACTAAAGCGTTTGTCTGGAGCACTAAAGAAGACGAAAGAAGTGATGGATGAATGCGCGAATGAGGTGCGTAAGCAAAAGGCGAAGATGACGTTAGCTGATGACCGGCGCGAGTAGATCCCCCCCCCCTCCCCCTCCCCTTTCATAAATTTCAGAGCCCAGTATGAAGGGGTGGTTAAGTGAATGTGACGGCAACCTGCCATCACCGATCACGCGAGAGAATTTCGGCTCTGTTATTTCCACAATTTCATCACGTCATCGCCGCAGAGAAAGTGTAGTCGATAAAAATGAGTGAAAACCTGAATTATGAGTCTTCTCTTTACCTTCTCTTTTGCAATAATAAGAGCCCTAAGGATAAAAGTAGGAGGGGGGGGGCGATGTTGATTTATGTGGACATAGAAATCAAATGGGCTTATCGGACGGCTTTAAAACGGGAGAGCGCGGTTAACTCACAGGAGCGGCGCGCAAACACTAGGATGTGGAAGTGACAGGTTAAGATGTACTGAGTGTGATTACGGTAGATGAAATCGGAGGAGTGGGAGGGGGGGGGGAGAGATAGGGTAGAGAAATCTAGAAGAGTTGTTGATGTGAGAAAAAACCGAGAAAAAAAGATGGTTTCGAATTCGGTTTTACATATGCACGAAATCAAGAACAGTATGCACACAGTTACAAAACTTGCAGGTCTGGCAGAAGATTCAGATTTTGCTCGGAGAGTTCTTTTTTCGAGGATAAAACAATGAACGTTTCTCGAAGCGTCTCGAAAGATAGAGAAGAGAAGAGACGTTCAAGGAATGCGAACACCGGCCACTCATGCCTCGACAACGACGGAAAAGTAGGCAAACGCACTTTGCAGAGAGTTCTGTGACTCATTTATGTGAATCAGCCACAGTGCGGAACTGCGACAGAGACAAAGAAAAACAGCCCGGAAATCGATCGTGAACGGTTTTCTTTTCACACTCGGCCATCAAACCGTTTCATAGGCATCGCATGTGCCACAGCGAGTCCTTTGCGGCGGCAACTTCACGCTTTTCGAGGGGAACTCGGACATTTGCGCGAAAAAGTCGAATATTTCGATCCCTGGATTTGCTCGGCAATGTCTTGGCTGAGGGAAATCATGCATGCGTGGCTGACGACATAAGCCATAAAATGTTTACAGCCTCATCAAGGCAGCTTCAAAAGCGTCGTTAACGTAAAAAGAGCAAATATCGTCAGTGGCTTATTGGTTCATCTTAACCTTTGACGAAAAATTTTGCGAAAAGAATTGTTGTCCGAGTCACGAAAGCCCTATTTTGAATGCATCATTGCGGATGATGGGGCTTATTGTCGTCGAAAAGAGTCTCTCAGCACTCATTCCATAGGACACATCAATTATTCGGTGAAGTACTGCGAATAACCTTTTGCATTCCTCAGCCGGCGTTTGACGGAGGGCACGTGCACCGCGCAAGAGTCCCGGAGAGTCGCTTTTACGGGGGAAAACGCCTGAATTGCCCTTTAGACGTTTTTGCTGGCCATTTTCGCGCGCGCGCTTGTTCATGGGCGCAGTTGCGGATGTGAACAGGAGTTTCTGAACAGAGAGTGCTTAGCGATATTCGAATTAGGGAAAGTTGCAGGAGAGACACGGGAGAACAACAAGCCGGGAATAATGAGAGAGTCAATGCTGGGAAACATACACAAGCTAAGAGAACAGGTTTCTGCTGATTGTGGAATGACAGATGTCTAGACAGACTACTAACATCAGGCAGAACTCAGCAGATTCCGCAGGAGCCCCGCAGACATCCCACGGTGCTACTCACGGCGTTCATTATTGAGCGCAAGAGTGCTATGTTTCCTTTCGAGGCAATAGCTCGCACTGGGGCCCCTCGTCCGGTTAATCACCGGTCACGCGAATGCTCGGGCTCGCACCATTGAGCTCTGATGAAAAGAGCCAGCTTTTAGCGTATTTTGTGCCCTTCTAGGCCACCCATATGGCTCTGAAATGAGCTCTTTGTTAGCATCTCAATTAGCGCACTTCCAGATTCGAAGCCAGCTAGAATTTCATTGACCACAAAAACCCACTGTTGAAAATAACGCACCCACGCAAACTTAGATAAGGAGGGGGGGGGGGGAGGGTTCGTACTATGTGTTTATGTAAGTCCAAAGCTCTTTGCTCGATATTACTAACGAATCCAACCTAATTAGCGCGACCACATAGCCATTTGCGGGTCTGATTGAAGCAAATTACTCGCGGGCAGTAAGACGACACCATGACAGGGGCTGGAGCAAAATATCAGACGCTGTCCGAATTCACATTCGCTCAGCGCTGAAGAGTAATGCGATTCTTCTAGTTTTCAAGAGGATGCCCTTATTCAGAGCGAGTGGGCTTAGATCTGGACATCAGTCCGAAGTCCCACGGGAAGAATGCCACCGCGCCACGACATCACATCTCAGCCATTTCCGAGCGCGCAAAAGATTTCTCTCGAAGGCAAAAGAACTTCGGACGTCTGTCAACAACTCGAAAACATGGTAAATCGGCTTAAGACAGGCGATGCAGTCAGAACAAACAGGCTGGGGACGAGCGAGAGAGTTAAGTGGCGCCGTGGTTGTCGCTAGTCACAACTAACAGAGAATGGTTAGAGCGCTACTTGATATGGCAGCTTGAGAGAAGAAACTCAATCCCGCAAGAGCGATGCGGTCGGTTTTTGGGAAGAAGAAACGAAAAACGTCATGAAGGAAATGCATACTGGAGAGGAGAGCTGGAGACGCGAGATGCCGCATTAGATATGCCCTCATTATGGATAGGGATTGGGCAAAAACTGGGCTGAAGGGATTTTGCATAAATGCAGCGAGCAGATGGGGAAGTGAAGAAGATTGTGGAGATGTCGTCATGGAAGGGACTTGAAAAGATGGGATTTCGCAATATGGAAAGGTTTTTTCTTGAAGAAAAAACATCAGGCATAATCTACTTCAAAAATGTTATTGGTCAATTAACGAGGGGTGGGAAGGGGACAACACAAGGAAAATCGACAAATTTAATCAATGAGCGTTGGAAGGGACCACCTCGAGACAGTGTAGGAAGATTTTCAAGATTCTGGGAGAACTCATGAAGTTAAATTGACCAAAAATTTCCTGCTCCAATCATAAATTCAAAGAACATTATTTTCAAAAAATTCCCGTGAAAGACACCGACAAATCTATCGATGACGACGTATGACAGGCAACTTGAGGCAATGTCATTTCTTTCTTTGCTCACGTACGATTAACAAGAAAAGTAGGGCATTAGACGAAGAAGCTTGCCCTCTCAAATAACACGATTTTTTTTGCCTCGTTGTCTCGATTACGGTAGCAAAGCCCTTAGCGGTTAAAGAAGGTGAGTATTATCTTTGATCTCAGTAAATCAAAGCAGAAAATGGTTAGATTCAGGCAAGAAGTGAGTCTTAGAAAATAATCAGTTCAATTTTAGATCCTGGAAGTTATTGGTAATACAAATTGTTGATCAGGTTCAGTGAGAAGAAGATGAAAATTAAGAAGAAAAGACTAGTCTGAAGTGGATAGTGAAGTCGAAATCCTCGATAGATTTGTCCATGTAAGCTGAGCGAAAGTGGGCGGAGAAGAGTGTTATGACGATGCTGAGCGGACGACGGGGGTGAAAAGATCGAGAGCGTGTGCGGGGAAATGAATGCGCGAGCAGGAGGCACGATGCTCGCGAATGCGTGTGACAAGCTAAGCAGTAATCGAAAAAGAGGCGGGCGCCCGGGCCCCGCGCACAGAGCACACGGGGCTCGGCGAGGCCCGTCGTCGGCTCTGCGCCCGGCAGAGAGCACGAGAGCTGTCTGGAGAGCGTGTTCGAGTTCCGTTGGCACGGCAACCACAGCTCAGAGTCACACTTCGGCACCCGTGCGTGGCTCACCGCCTCACGTCAACTTCCCTGATCTGAGACAGCCGCGGCGTAGAGAGTAGCAACTTGCGGGGACTCCCAGTTCTCAATTAAGTGGACAGCAGCGAGCAGATCTGTTAGCGCACTGATACGCTAATAAACTTTGAACGAACTCTGCTCGTACCCGAACGGTACTTTGGTCTCGAAGTGTAATAGCACCCACATTTATAAAAAGTCGCGGCGACATGCACGGTGCCAGTGTTTGCATACTGTAAGACTACTGTAGGCAATCTGGTTAATCGTCGATGCTTCTTGACAATTCAAAAGCATTAAGGCCTGGCAGGGAGAGGGGAGGGTGTTGATGTGAGGTCTATCAAGGTAGGTGGGATTCTTCACTACCGTAACGCCCTCTCCACTTCCCCCCTCCCCCGAAAATGGATAGGGAAATTTTTGAAAATAGCCTTCAGGAGTCAAATTTGTGCAATTGACTTGTTTTCACTTATTCAACTGACTTAATTTTGCACCATCTTCAAATATTTAAGTTAATCTTGTAAAAAAATTACTCGACATAAAAAAATTCAAAAATCAAAAAAAAACTCTCATATCACCATGTTTGTGGTCTATCATCAACTTCTGATATTGCTTACAAATTTGGAATTCACTTTGACCTTTGCTCACAACTTCCATAATAACTTTTAAAAGAAAGGTCGCAGCGCCCACTTTTCAAGAAACTTAACAGTCATATCTTTACCCTAGTAGGCCTTTTCCAGAAAAACATCATTCGCTAAACCTTGTGTTATTCGCTTATAGTTGTTTTGTTGTAGTTCGACACAACAAGCAATTGCCTGTCATATAAATTAGAAAGCTCCCACGACATTTACGTCAGCGCTTTCATACTTAGAAATTTACTTGTCTAATGTGTATCACTTTTCACGCCCTCGACTACGAATATCAATGAAGCGAAACTGAGAAATTCTGCTTCCCGATCACAAACTATAATGTTTTGTAGAGATCAGATCTGCAGCTATCTACAGTCCGATTTTTCGCTCGATGTGTACTTGCACTTCCGAGATTTTG